TCAAACATAAAATAATTTAATGTAAATTGAAATTCGAGGAAAAATTAAGGATGGAAATTTTTGTAAAAATGTATAACAATATAAGGAAATCCTTACACCACCTTTCTTTATTTCGAAAAAAGAGAGTGAAAGGAGGATGTTAAAAAAAGAGAATTAATTTTTTATCAAAAAAAAGATTTAAGCAAAAGAAATAATACATTGAAAAAAAAAATTGGTTGCTGCAGCCAGCCATATAAAAATACTATGCCATATTTTACTATCTAAATTGCAGCAATCAATCTTTTCGTTCAATGTACTTTTTATATAAATTTTGACATTCTGGATACAATAAAATTATTAGTTCGTAATGTTTAGAGATCATCTTTTAGAGAAAATTAAGCACGAACATGGCCTATTTATCCAAGTTTCAATATTTTTGCTCAATTTTCGAGGTTTTCCAAACGCTACTTTTAATAACTTTATCATCAGATTTCAGAATCTAAAATGCTATTTCTTTTTTACTTACACCTTTTTAAGCAAAAACTGGCCCTTTTTTAACATCCTCTATACTTTGACTACTTGTGCCAAAAAAAACTGGAGAGAGTAAAAACAAAATAAACAATAACAAAATAACAATTAATAACAATGTGTATACACCTAGCTAATCCAAGTTAATTTATGTGCGGAATACATGACATAAACGAGGCTCTATCACGCATACGCTTTATTCATGATATTAATCGTTTCCGAGTATGTGTCATGGTCGTCGTAATTATTCTAAAAGAAGTCGTCAAGGCACGTAGAGAGGCCTCGTCTTTCTCTCATCGTCCGCAAGGCGAATGCAGGTGTCTCTCAAATTAAGTCGTCGTAACTGAACACGATGTGGATCGATCGATCGATATTTCAAGATCAGTGGCGCATCGGGTGCATCAACATCAAGCCACATAGCCACTTTAATCTGGCGTTATTAAAATGAAAATATGTAGCACGATTAAGAGCTGACTAAGAGCTGAGTGGTAATATACTAATAACAATAAAATTTTTTTTTAATATTTCAAATTAAGTTTAGTCCTTGGATACAAATTTGATACATAATTTTGATATAATAAATTTAATGATTCAAAATTTTTAAACTTTAAGCAGAAATAAAGCAGAATTTTGCATACATAGACTGTTTTTTATTATAAAAAACAGGTATTATCTTCTTTTAATAATTTCTTCTGTTTAGAGAGAGAGAGAGAGAGAGAGAGAGAGAGAGAGAGAGACAAGAAATTTATAATTTCATTATTACACTCATTTGCACGATGAACAAAAAGTTTCTTCTTTTTGAAAGACAATATCTGTAATTTCATTATTACAACCTCTTTCTATTCATTTACAAAATGAATAAAAAGAGAAAAGGAGAGAGAAATTTGTATGTTTAATATTATTGTTAAAAACATTTATTCGATCGACTTTCTTCAAATAATTCAATTCTGATTAGCTTATAAAACCGATTGGAGATAATTTTTACAACAATAATTGGACATGATCGTGATATGCAAAAACTGAAGCTAATCCAGATTTTCGTGAACGTTCCTGAGATTCAAAAGACGTAGAAATCGGAACGTGTAATGGGCAAGAAACCACGGCTAATTGCACGGCTCCGCGAACATGCGTGTTGCAGCATGCCTTAATGCACGTTTGATAATTGCACCGCCTGTTACGATGAGGAATGCTCGTCCGCTCCTACATTAGAAAAGGAGGAGAGTCTCAGCGACACGCCTTAAATTAGGCGCTTAGTTTCCAGTACATTAATCGACGGAAACAATCGAGACGAGATCACACTCGAAGAGCACGCACGATAAGATCGCTCTTTTCCTATATCATGGCAATATAGCAACATTAGCAAAAACGTATCACCGTCGATGCATTTACTTGCAGAACGATTATACGAGATCGTAAGATACGTCTCCCTCAGATCGTAACGTCGACTTCAAAAATAAGTAAAGAATTCCGGTATGAATAAAGATCGCTTGCATGCAACAGGAACGACCTTGCTTTCCAGAAACGAGAAAAGGAAACCAGTTTATGCGGCATAGTGCGTTAATGCAGTAAATTTCTCTTTGCGTGTTGGTCCTTTGAAGCAGCTAGATTGCCAACATTCATATAATATTTACGGAAACTACACTCTAAAGAATATGAATTTTTTGGATGTAGATTTAACGCCATGCGGTATTTATATTTTTATATCATGTTGTTTAAATCGTAAATCCACATCACGTTGCACTGAAAAAGTGTATTAAATTTTATTAAATCATTTATTTGAAAAATACCAACTCAGATATTATTTGAGTACAAGTATCATTAATTTAATTATTATCCTTATTGAGTAAATATTTATTATTAACTATATGTATTATTATTAACTATAAATAAATTTTTAGTTGGTATTATTTAAATATTAAAATTTAGTACATTTTTTCTAGTATCAAGGATATTAAATCCATACGCATATTTTTCTAAACTACATTCTAAAATGTCTCCGAGGAAAATTTTACTCAAAATATATATTATATTATATCGAGTAAAATTTTCTTCGAGGATCTTTTGAAGTGTAGCCTTAGAATATATATTTTGTATACGTTTATATAGAAATCAACTTGATAAATTTATATCCGATATATATAAATCTGTAATTTAGGTATTGCCTTAGTAGCTTTTTTTATAACATAATTGACAACACATTTTTGCTTGAGAAGCCAGAACAAATGATACTCATTGAACGTGTGCCAAAAGAGAGATCGTCGATAACGAGGCTGCTCGCATGGCCAAATATCGATTGTTCATCGGTACGGATTGCGCAGACCGTCTGCAATCAGGGTTAACGGTACGGGTAAAAAAAAAACATTATAAATCATGCGACAGTGAAGTATTATCTACGTGATTTGCACAACAGCGTGCAAAAAAGCGCGAATTTGATTTGGTATCCCGCACGATCTTGATCGAAGAATTTTAAGTGTAAGGTAAAATAATATAATATATAAAACATAATTTCTCCGCATAGTAGAACTGTGATTTTATAAAAATAAGAGAATAAAAAAATCTCTTGTATAATGTATAAAGATACGGATATCTATTAAAAAAGATGTAGAGACTTGGAAAATAAAGTTCCATTAAAGAAAATCCAAAAATAAAGAGTCTTATACCTGTTTTCACCAATGTAGATTAACTTTAACCTTTATAGTACAAGAAAACTAACTATAGTAGCATTGAAATAGTGTCATATTTTGAAGGAAAAAATGATGAATTATAACAAATCTTACTCAGTAAAGCTGTAAAATATTATAAATCGACCTCTGCACTGGAAAGAGTCTGAATTAATTAGAATTCTAGTTGAAAATTGACAAAATATTCTGGTTAAATCTACTATTATAATTAAGAATTTTGATTGATACGACCAAAATCCTCTTCGTTCATTTTCAACCAGAAATTTTTCTCGCGTCCTTTAAAGGTACAGCTTACTATTCATCTTCCTAGTTAAAAATTAGAAAAAAATGAAGAATAAATTAAACCAAAATTAAAATAAATCCACATTGACGGAAATGGATCTAAATTGGATAACACCGCCACACATAGAAATAAAATTCTTTCTTACAGGTCAATAAATGAAGCTATACTGAACGATCAATGCGCTTCCCTGAAAACCGGAGTTACTCGCACAAAAATGTCGGTGAATTTATAAGTGTCCAGAATGGCTCTCGAGATGCATGATCTCGCTCGGGATCAGTCGGGGCAATTAAAGGGATAATTAGAGTTGTGCGATTCATCGTGGTAGTTCGCCGAAGACGCCGCCGTCCGAAGGAAGGCGAGTCCGTGTGCACAGGTGAAACGCCAGCAAGTTTTATCGCGCAATAAATAACATTGCGCGCAGGAAACGAACGCCATATTCGTCAACAACGTCACAACTCGGGAATAGTTTTACTGCCGAGCACGGTTCCCTCTAAGCTTCATGCGTCTCGCAAATACACGTGACAAACGCCTTCGGACACGCGGTCACGGAGAACGCGAATGTCCCACATCCTGCGATGAAAATAATCTTTGTCACGGGCCTTATATAAATTCCTCAGAAAATCTATTTACTGCATCTTAACCCTCTGGAACTGACGCCAAAATCTGTACACAGTTACTAACGCCGATTCTGTAAGACCCATTTAATTTATATTAATTAAAAGCGCTAATTAATTTCAAAGCGAATCAAAATAACATAACTGTTATAAAAAATAGAATGAATATAAGTATATTATTTTAATAAGAATAATCCAAATTTGTAGATGTACAAATTTGTAGATGTAAAAAAATTGAATTGTTTGACATTTTTGACAAAGAGATTATAATCGAGTGGGTTCAATAGATTGACTTACCATCAGTTCCAAAGGATTAAAGACGTCCTTCTTCCCAGATACTAAGTACTCAATGTATGCTAGTTTATCATTTTATTTATTATAATACTATAGTTTATTACTACAGTATTATAGTATTTCTAAAATCTCTGTGCTTCATAAGTCTTTTATCCAGAATCAATTGAATTACAGATTAACCTTTTCAGTAGATCCTTTTCAAAAGATTTTGGAACCACACAAAGCACAATACTGATTCAAATCTCCTAATATAAATTAATTTTAATCTCGATTAATCTATTCTTTATCTTTTTCTCTCTAGTTCTAAGAATTAAAAAAAGATAAAGAGTACATTAAACCGAGATTAAAGTTACTCTATGTTAGCAAAAATACTTGAGGCCCATTTCTATCAATGGATTAACTTTAATCACAATATCTTACTTTTAACTATTTTCCAAAAATTAAAAAAAATGCATTATAAACTGAAATTAAAATTAATTTACATATGATATTGATAGAATTATATATATTTTTATAATATATATGTCTTTCCAAGTCTCTATTCTCGTTTAACTCGCTATGTTTCTCGGATCTGTTTCCATTTCGGCCACCGCCGGAGGATAAGACAGGCAGAACACCTACCTGACGGGATTCGTAGGCGTCGGAGAAGTGATCGGAATCGCCTCCGCTGGACTGCTGGTCGGCTGCTGCCGCGGCACCGGTTGCGGCAGCAGAAGCGGCGGCAGGCCTGCGTCGATCGTCTGCACTCGCGCCGCGATCCATCGCCGCGTCGAAGAACACATGGACGGCGCTCGTACCGTCGGCGGGCGCGTCGTCGTCGGCGACGCCGTTGCACGCACGCTCCGGTTGTTGTTGCTGCTCGTCTTTTTCCTCCGTCGGCAGTGGCGGCGCAGTTTCTTCCTGCACCACCGCGGTCTTACTGCCCTTAACGAAGAACCGCGAGATCGTGTTCCACATTCAACGGGATGATGATGTTGACAATCGCGTCGGCATTCGTGGCTTCAATCAATGAACCTCGATCGACGCGGCACCCCGTACTCGTCATAGCCGAGACGACCTCGCGAGGAATTCCAAACCCACTGCCGATCTCCTTTCTTTGTTCAATAGTTTCTTTTCCTTTTTCTTAAGCAGTCTTCAGCGATGAAAATTCCCGCGATTTTTCCTTCGATCACTCGCGTATTTCACTGATCTTCTTGATCCTTAATCTACGTCTCGCTTTCCTCGGTTTATTCTCGCTTTGGCACACACATGCACGTGACACACTATGCACAGCTGCGTGGCGGCAAACGTAAACTCTTCCGTCGACGAGACACGTGGGAGGTCAACAAATTCTGTAACGATAAACGGACCATAAGAGTGAGAGAGAGAGAGATGAATACGAGGAGCTTGTGTTTCGCGAAGAATTTTGTTTTCCCACGTGTGTACGTCGGTGTCTCCTAGTTACAATGTCGCTCACGCGAGATAAAAGAGAATACTGGCATTACAATTTCCGGCCCTTAGCTCTTAACATCGGTCCATGGGTCTTGCTAACCAATAAGCTCTCTTCTCTTTCCCCACCTTTTTGATTCTTTTTTTTTTGTACCACTATGAAACCTTATAAAACCTTATTAAACCTTAAAGATAATGAAAACACAGATAATAGAAACAGAGAATAAAACAGACTTTAATTTACCCAAAAAATTCTAAAGGTAAATCGTAAATTACCTAACCGTAAATTTTAAGCTTGTCTTTCTAGCTGAACTTCTTGCACAATTCATCTTTTTTTTTTATTTTCTCCAATGTCGAAAGAAGGAAAGAGAATAAAGATGAACTGCAAAAAAATCAGCCAAAAAGAATAGACCTTAATAACACAGTTTCTGATAGATTCAAATTTCGTATTCCTTGTTCCTACAGTATTTTTCATTGTGTTTGAGGCTTAAGGCTTCCTCAGTTGTCATATATACAGAATAATAAACTTTCCGGAACTGACGGTGGGTCTATTGAACTATTTAATTATAAATTTTTTATCAAAGATATCAAACATATAATATAATTTTCTTTATTTTACATCTGCTTTGAATTATTCAGAGTACACAATTCTTCATCCCAAAATTCCATAACTTTTTCCTAATTTCCAGAGAAAATTTCATTATTTTCTCTGACTTTCAGTAATATTTTAAATTGTTTTGCATTTTCATCTTGATTCAAAAATATTATTAAATATTATTAAGAGATCTGACATCAATTTTGACATCAAATTTGACATAGCAATGTAATTACTCTATTAATTACTATTATTATTGCTTGTATTTTTAATTATTAAATTGGTAGTATTTAAAAACTGCGCAGATGTGATGTACATAACATAAATTTTTTTAAAGTCAAAGTTTTTTATTCGAGTCGTTATTTTGATTCCTTGAAATTAGTTAGTCCTTTTTAATTAACATAAATTAAATGAATCTTACAGACCCAGCGTCAGTAACTACGTTACTGTGATTTTGACGTCAGCTGCAGACGGTTAAAGAATGGTATGCTGAGACCGTGAATGATGCACAAGATACATAAATAAAAATTCTGTGTACATCACCGGCACATGTATTATTGTGAATATTGTAATGCATGTGGCAGTGAAGATGTTTAAGACCCTCTGGCTGTAAATTAAAAATAAAGATGAATTTGACCGCGTTTTTATTGACGATAAAACAGCCGATTTCCAAAAGATTCTCGTGTCTTGATTCAAAGTTAAACCTGATTTCAACTAATTATAGAGTAAGTGGAACTCATATTCTTCTTTTTTAAATATAATGACAACGTAATAAATTTCACGAATTTTAATGATTACTTATTATTGAATTTTTTTCAAGTATTATAATAATTTTTTCTATGCAAATGTCTGATTACGTTCAACTAATATCATGGGCAAATTAAAAATGTTTTAAATAAATATTTTCTATGTAATTAAAGAGTTCAATTATAAAATCAAAAGACTAAACAGTTATTAAATAAAATTACATGAAAGATGTGTGATTACAGTTATAAAAATATTACAGTTATATAAAATTGGCATTAAAAGAATATTTCCCGTAAAGCTATTCAATAATTAATGCTAATTCTATTAATTAATATATATTTTTTCTATTCTTCTCTAATTTAATTATTCAAATTGTACTAGTATAAATTAGTTTTTCATCACTCAATTTGTGAAGATCATATAAATATTAATGTCTCAAATGGATTATAAATATACAATGAGTCGAAATAAAGAAATTAAGGGCGATATTCATTCTTAGTCCTTATATACGATTTAAGATCGTCTTAAGTACAGTCTTAAAATGTCAATCACAGACTGGTATAAAGTATTTATAGTCGGTTCTATATTTAAACCCATCTTAAGTATAGTCTTAAGATGTCACGAACCAATCAGAGTCATATTAACATTACGGCATTACTTAACTAAACTAAAAAGAATTTACTAAATCTTAATACATATTTCTCTGAATAATATTAAGTAAACATTTACTTACAGTAAATATTCACTTAATAAAAAAAAAGACAGTTAAATCAACTTAATTCTTGTACCAAATAAATATATGTTTACGTTTAGTTAATATTTATTTAGAACTATTCAGGCAAATATTAAAATTTAATACTTTCTTTCATTATATGAATATTGATCTAAGTTTACACTTTCAAAAAGACAAATATAGAATAAATTAAAAATAATATGACAAAAATTTGATAAATCTCATTATCAAAAAACTGTCAACAATTAAAACTCTCACAAATCTCGCGGAAAATAATGTAAAAATAAGTACTTCTAGTTTTTATCAAGATTGTAAAAGCATTTGTGTAAGTATATTTTATCGCTATACGATAACAAACTTCACTTTACAGCTTTCGCAAACCGGATAACCTCAAACCGAAAGAAAACACAAGCTATCGACATACCAGACAATCAAAAGAACTTAGACTACGTGACCGAACTTGAACAGTCTCGTGACGTTATAAAAGCGCTTGCCCGACATCGCAATCTCATCGCCGATGACGGAGAATCCATCCGTTTCGATGTTCCCCGCTGATGCTTACCGGCGACGCGAGACGTCCTCAATCGAACGTGGTCTCCCTCTTCCCCTCTGTTCTGTTCGAATCCCCTTCCCCTTTCCGTTCCGCGACTTGACACGTAAAGTAATGCCGGGCGAAACGCGGCCAAAGGACACCGTCGCGAGAAAGAGAGAGAGCGAGAGAGAGAAGACTTTGCTATTTTCGTCGGGAATGGCAACGACGAGTCTCTCTTTCCTCCTCACATCTCTCTCTCGCTTTTTCTCGAAGGAGACTACGACGCGTATCGATCCTTCGCGCGAGGAACGACCGGGCGACGACGTGAGCGAGAGGAAGCGGCACGGTCGAAACCGTCGATCGACCGTCATCGTCGTCGCACGGCTGATTCACGCAGCATTCGCGCACACACAGTTGGGGATCTGGGATCCCTACACTCACGCGCGCGCGCGCGTGTATATATATATATATACATGTGCCTGCGCGCGCGCGCGATAATCTCGCGTTCTATACGCGTGTTCGTGCGTCGAAGGTCGCGTAAATGCAGGGATCAAGGATCAAGGAAGAAATCTTCTAGGAACACGTATAAACACAGGAAAATCCTCAATCTCATCGCCGACGAAGGAAGTACCTCTATCCTCTTTCTTCCTTTCTGCTGCTCCTCTCATGAGACTGGCTCGGCCCTGTCCCTCTTTCTTCCTCTCTCTCTCTCACTCTATTGGTCGTTCTCGCTCTTCCTCGTGCGAAACCCTCCGAGGTCTCGTGAGCGTGCTCAAGAGTATCCGGCCGCCCGCGTTCGTTGACAGCCAACTTCAGATTCCGGTGCGTGAACAAGATCGCACACGCACAGACACGAGGTATCCGCGAGGATATCTTTTTGCGTATCGTCGAGAGAGCACACGCGAGGAGAGAAGACGGCGCGACTCTCTCGCGAGTCCCCGATTATTCGCGCTCACGCTCGGCTCCCCTCCTCCCCGGGGGAAGGATCGTCCGTCCCGTCTGATCGACTGACCGACCGTCGCGGAGCGATCGCGTCCGACTTCGCACCGCTTCAACGCCGTGAAGTCCGTCGCGTCCGTCGCGAAGCGAAGCGACGAGGCGCGGCCCGACGGATCTCCGCGAGCTGGGCTTCCGCGTATATACACCACACACCAAGGGGCACCTCTCTCTCCCTCTCAGCGCGGAGATTCACCCGTTCGTAGGCAGCCAGCAGTACGCCGCACGCAGCAGCACTCCGCCATCCATCGCGATACGCACGATAAACGAGATGATGATCGGGCGACCGATCGAAATGATGGCGATTGATCGAGAGGTAGTTCCGCCACGATCTATCGACCGCTCGCGAATCGATTCGCGTGGCGCGCATGCGCGCGAGTTTACGGCGCGGCTATGTTCATGACTATACAATGCAACGGCGCGGTTTTCGAGCTGATTTCGATTGGGTGAGCTGAGTTACATCGATTCGATTAATGTAAGATTAATTTTAATCTCGGTTCAATTTACTCTTTATCTTTATCTAATTCTAGTGTTCGTTAATTAATATTGCTTTAATTTATTTTTCATCTTTCTTTAATTCTTAGAAAAGAGTAAATCGAAATTAAAGTTAATTTATACTGATAAAACTGTACGTAAGAATTGAACAAAAATAAATAATAAGTTAAACCGAGATTATAGTTTTACGTTAATAAAACTGAATCTTTTATTTCTATCATTGTAATTTAATTTTGATTTCGATTTAATTTAATCTTTATTTTTTTCTGATTCTAAAAGTTTGAAAAAAAGAATAGAAAATAAAACGAGATCAAAGTTTATCAACATTGGTAGAAATGTGACTTATGTTTTTATCAAAGTAAATTTTATCCATTTTTATCAATGTAGATTAATTTTAATCTTGATTTAACTTATACTTTCATGTTTTTCACCAGGTTTAAAAATTAAAAAAATATAAAGAGTAAATTAAATCGAGATTAAAATTAATTTACATTAATAGAATTAAATAGACATAAAACGCGAGTATTTTAAATCGATAGATAATAAAAAATTACTGAAAAATCATTATCATGTCAAGAATTCATAACAAAATTATCGTCAAAAATGTATCGAATGATATCATTATATTATTTTTTCCTAAAGTAACTAATCTACTTGATTTCATCTTTTGATCCCATTTTGTATTCAGGCTAGAACCATGTCTAGTTCAATTTATATGACATAAATTCGTCACGTACATACTTATACGTATACATTTCATAAATTTTTGTAAAAAAATCTTGTAAAATAGACTTGGAGAACTAACTTCATTAATTAACTTTGATTAAATTATCGATTCGTAATAAACGATAACGAACCCAATAACAAACAATGACAAAAGACTTCGCGCGAATTTTGAGAATTGTCAGAATCATATCCGAATTTCCTTCAGTTCATTTTATTTCCTTTCCTTAAGATTCTCGATTTTCAGTACTAAAAGAAATACGACCGAGAGCTAAGATCGTTACGTAAATATTTTCGAAACTCCGAAATTACGAGCGCAAGATCGCGCGACAGCGACACTCGGTCGACGAAGGGCGACGCCGCGTCGCGTATCACCGTCGCCGATAAAGCGGCGCGCCGTGCATCATCAATATGGCGGCGAATCTTGAGGAGGAGCAGAGCTTACGCGAGTGCGAGGAATACGTGCAGAGACATAATATCCAACAGGTCCTGAAAGACTGTATAGTGCAACTGTGCGTGGGCCGGCCCGAGAACCCGATCTCCTTCCTGCGGGAATACTTCCAGAAGCTGGAAAGGGTACGTAAGTTGTGCGCGGTTGCGATTAACCTGATCGCGGAGAAAGAGAGATAATAAGGATATATGTCGCAAGTCCCCGACTCTCCTCGCTGCGGAAGGTAGCGTCACAAGTTTTTTCAACAAAAGGCTGAAGTTTCCCCGAAATAGGTGACAAACGTCGTATATAAAGGACACGTCGAAACCCTCGCTTCTCGATACAACAATAACGCGATACATTGATTGAGGTCATTTGATTATGCTATGTATCGCTCAACTTGATGAAAATTACAAAAATTACAAAAATGAGCAAGTTGACTAGAATGTTTATAATTTTAGATGTTTTCCATTTGTTTATTCAAGTTGACACAAATCGTTCTGTCTTTGTTATTCATAGAATGTCAAGAAAAATAGACTGATGACTTGTCATTAAATGGAAAAAAGTTTTATTGTAACATATAGGGATAATTATTATTAACATATAGGGATTGATTGTATATCTTGAGATGAGATAATTATAAATATGAGTGATTTTGACTGGAATATAATTTTATTGATCAATGTGTCTTATGAATTTACTCTTATAATTTTTATCTTGTTTTAAGATAATACAATTGATCTCCTAATGAATTTTCTCTTTTATAATTTCCACTAAGTTGTGTGATACATAATCAAACTTCGAGACATAACCAGAGATGATCTCCATTTCCTGTCCTTTTCTACTAATTTAGTTTAATTTTAGTCTTAGTCCTCAACTAATTTTAGTCTTCAACTGAGACTCCTCATCTTTTTCTAGTTCTAAAAAATTTAGCCTGGTTCTGTCAATGTAAGATTAATTTTAATCTCAGTTTAATTTATTGTTTATCTTTTTCTAATTCTTAGAATTATAATTAGAAAAAGTAACAGTATAATTATGTCAGTATGTTTCTGCTAATATAATTTAATTTTAATCTTGGTTCTATTAATTCCTCATTTTTTGTAGTTATAAGAATTAGAAGAAGATGAAGAGTAAATTGAATTGAGATTAATCTACATTAAGAGATTAATCTTAAATTGAGACTAAGCCATAGAAAAAGATGAAGTTAAATCAATCAGTTAATTTATATTGATAGAAACAGACATCTGAGAGCTTCTCTTCTTATCTTCCCAAACAGCGAAGATGTTTACCCAAATCTTTCTCAAAATTTTAAGAGGTTTATTGATACGAGCTTATTGCATTATGCAATATACTGCATCTTTTAAAAGAAATCTTTTTTAGTTTTCCTGGTGTGCGAGAAACTGCGTTTATATAACAGATTTTTGCCTCTCTACTTTCTTCGCGTTCATTGTCCAACAATTGCAGCAAAAGGAATAAATGAATCGTATGGTGATTTTACGGCAGATTATTCTACGTTTGAAAGAAGCGTTATCAGCACTGTGCTTCATTTGATAAACATTGCAATCTATAAGATCGTTTTTCTCCATGGAAACCGCATCATGTTATCTTGACGTCATAGATAATCATGGTTCGTTGAAAAATATTTGAGGCTTTTTGTCAGACATAGTAGCGAATAAGCATTTTGTACATTGTATATTTGGCTCTTTCGCAAAATTGATACGTCGGAATCGTAATGACCAACAGACAGCATCATCGTAGGATAGCGACAAGTGCTGCTATCTGTAGCCATCTTTATTACAGTCGTTACAGCAGATACCTGAAATACCGTGGATGATAAACTTTGTATCATAAAATTTATTTTTTTATTTCTACACTAGACTTCATTAAGACGTGATTGAACTAGAAATTGAGATTGAGATTGGATTGGAATTTAAGCAATCAAAGCGAAGAGATTGGTTTTCTTTCTTTTTATTGGTTAAATTGCAATCCAATTTCAATTTCAATCTCTAGTTTGATCACAGCTTTAGAACTTCCTTTCTCACTTTTGCCAAATATTATACATATGTCCATTTCAATTTAAGTTCTAAAAGTATATTAGTTCGCTATAGAAAACAGACGTACATACAGAAGAATATCATTCTCAGAAAAGTGACTACTCTAAAATTTACTTTTTTCTTATAACGGTTATCTTCTTGTAAAAAATATTTTCTTGATAATAATCTTAAAATATAATTATTATAAATTTTAGAAAAACTTATTATATACTTAAAACAGGAATTTATTTTTTTTTTTGGAATTTATAAATTAATCGAAGAAATAATTTTATATAATAAACAAAATTTGTTTTAATTTAATAATTTTGATTAAGGTCTTACTAGGATTCCGACTATATTTTGAATAAATTTGATTTCTGTGATGAAATTATGATTTACAGATATATGAGCTTTTGAAATATTTGAAACAAGTAATTATTATTTACATGTACAATATGTATTTTTCTGTGTCCACAATGGTTTCTTTGCCTATATCTTTCTCATTTTCTGGCCCATTTCTATTAATTTTAATTTACTCTATCTTTTTCTATTTCTTAGAAATGAGGAAAATAAAAAGTATGTCAAATCGAGATTAATGTTAGTTAATATTAGCAAAAATGGGCTTAAATGAACTCATTTCTATGAATGAGTTAACTCTCTAATGATTAACTCTCTTTAATCTCAGTTTATTTAGGTTCATCTTCAGTTTATTTTTATTGCTATGTTGGACTAAACTTCCTTTTCATTTTTGCCAAACATATTTTATCGGACATATTTATTTCACTTTAAGTTCAAAGACTATATATTTGTTCAGTTAAAGAAAACTTACTTTATTTTATTTTTATCTGATTCTTAGAATCAGAAAAAGATAAAAAGTAAATTAAATCAAGGGTAATCATCAGAATTATTTTTATTAAAAAAAATCAGACTTATTTCTATGCACAATTATTTCTTCGAAAGCTACATCCTTAATCAGATAATTTAATAACATCTGTAATTATAAAACTGATCAATTATAGCTATTCCTTGTGAAGAATGGAATGACTGTGACTGGCCAGTTTCACAACTACATATGTTATTACTTGAAAAAAGATGCAGTGTAGTCAATAACTCTCTCTGTGTGTGTGTGTGTGTGTGTGTGTGTGTGTGTGTGTGTGTGTGTGTGTGTGTGTGTGTGTGTGTGTGTGTGTGTGTGTGTGTGGTGCAGATTTTATCATCAGCTTCGAAAGTTAATTCAGTCGGTTCAATTTACTTTTATCTTTTACTAATTCAGAAGAGGATAAGAAATAAGTTAAACTGAGATGAAAATTAATTTACACTGGTATAGGAATAAACATTTACTGTTTTTCAGTGAAGTTTCTGAAACAAGATAAGTTAGTTTTAAATTAAAAATGAAATGAGGTAACGAATATTGAAAATTAATCTCTCGTGAGAAATAAAATATATGCAAGGTGCATAAGGTTCTCTGCAGAGAAGTAAAATGAATAAGAAAGATTCTATTTAATTAACGTCATTATTCTTTGTCAAA